CCCCAAAACCCCAAAACCCCAAAACCCCTTGTGAAAAAGTCCTGTTGAATAGAAGAAGATCAGAATTTGAAATGTATAAGAATTAAACTGAAACAAACTATGAAAATATAATTGAGATTTTATATTCTGATTGCTTTATAATTGTTAACAGTGGTTATTTTCAATTATAAAAACATACAAATATGGGAAATCATGGTATGTGAATTTAATGGACACTTTGATTAATGACAAGATTCCTGACTCTCTTGAGGTGCCATACACCATATTTAAGCATATCATCTTTCCTCATAATACTCATTAGTTTTGGGTCTGAATTATTTTCATAGATATTGAAAAAATGATCTAAAAGGATAAGAAATGCATTTATTCCGAACAATCTGATTAAATTTTGTTCACAAAACGTATATAGTCCATTACATATAACTTTTGTTGTGTAAATGTCCTAAGGACTTTTATGAGTGATTTTTGTTTTACTGGAGTAAAACATTGCATTTAGGAAAAGTACCATCTAACTTTTTAAATCATCCTTCAATGACTATTCTAGATTATCAACAATAGAGAATTAAAGAGAATCTATAAATTGCTCGATACATTGGTCTAAAAAGTTAATATCTTATTTCTTTTTGAGTTTCATGTAATTAGTACTCTTTTGGAATCTCTTAAGATAGTATAACCTGATCTTTCTCAAAGTAGATTTTAATAGGACATCAAGTCTTCTCTCATCAAGTTTTCCTTACACATCCTTTTTCAATAACTCTAATTATGACTTTTTCTCCTTGTCTAATGAGAAGGGCTTTTATTTCTGAATATCACTATTCTCTAATATATATTGAAGTAACGGTCCTTTCTCAGAATTTTTAACTTTTGCAGTAATCATATTAATGCAATTTTTAATGATTGGTTCAATGTTTTGGTTACTTTTAATTTCTTATCGAATTTCAGTGGAAAATTGAAAGCTTTCAAAAGGGGATAAAATTTAATCGCTAGAACCAGAAGTATTGTTTTAGGTTTATTCTTATTATTTTATGAGTTCGTTTTGACTCTCTATGTTTTTATCTTTGCTCTCTAAGTTAAAAGCATCTTGAAAGGAAAATTAGTTTTGCAAGACATCAGTAAATGTGCTATCTTTATTTTAGAAGTCATTATTTTGAGGATTTTCAACAATAGAATTTTTTGCGAAAAAATTTGCTTTTGTGTGACTAGTCTCATCTTAATATATGTCTTACTTTAATTCTTCCTCCATTCCCATAGATATCTCGATAAATTATTCATTACTATTCCATCGTAAAAAGTATGAAGGAGAATACTCAGATTATTAATTTTGAAGTCTTTCATTATAATAAGGTATTTCCTCAAAACTTGTGTTTAGAGATAATTTTATTACTTTGAGTTCCTATTGTTATTAGTATTGAAGGTTCATTATATTTTTAAATTGATTATAGAATTTAAGGATCTATTAAGTATTAATGAATCTAAGGCTCCTTATAGTCTGATCATGTTGAACATTTTCTCTTCCACTCCTTGAATATTTTCTATTTTACTATTGTCTTGTTTCGCTTCAAAACTCACGAGTCACGCCAATTTTTTTGGTGTGAGATTAGAGATATAGATTATTACTTCTCATAAAATTTTGTTTTATTTGGGTCAGATCATCAGTCATGAGAATTGAGTTAATGTTTAGATTTAGCTAATACAATCTTGTTGTTTCCTATTAAAATGATTTAGAAATATCCTTTTGAACAATAATTCCATTTATAGCCAGATAGGAACTGAGATTTATTTTAGAATTATCAAGTATTTATTTTACTGACTCTATCATAGTAAAACTTTAAAGTCAATTCCTCAGAATATTCATTTTTTCTCAAAGATAAAGTCCAGAAATCAAGTAAGATGCCTGATATCCAATAATACTTTTAAGAATTAACTTAAGAACTTGCTATCTAATTAAGATTTAATATTGATTAGAAAATGGAAATATTTAGACTAATCAAACATGAATGCATTTATTCCACTTAATGATGCAATTTTAATAAATAAGACTTTCTTCAACTTTCCACTTAATTCGCTATTTCTTCTAATTTTGCATATATCTTCTACCTATGGGGTTTTGGGGTTTTGGGGGTCCTATTCTATTATTCCATGCTAATGT